TATTAGAAAATATGGGGGAAAAGCTCCCTGACATCAGTCTTGTCAATGATTTTTTGGAATGTCCACCCAAAGCACAGACAACGAAAGCAAAAATAAAGTGGTATATAATAAATTAATTATTTCTATACAGTGAAAGAAACCAGTCAATAAAATAAGTGCCACTGTAAATTGGTACAGTCTGTATATAAGACAGTATGGATGTCCTCAAAATATTGAGAATAGAATAAACATATAGCAATTCCACTTTTGGGTATATATTTAAAGGAAATAAAATTAATACTATTTCAAAGAGCTATCTGCACTGCCATGTTCACTGCGGCATTATTGGTAGTAACCATAATATGGAAACAACCTCAGTGTCCATCAGAAGATAAATGATTGAAGGAAATGTCACATATGTATGACATTTTATCAATGTAAAAGACTTAGATATAAGTTGCAACACCATAAAAGTCCTAGAGGAGAACATAGGCAGGGGAATCTCAGATATTCCACACAGCAATATTTTCACCGATATGTCCCCTAGAGCAAGGGGCATAAAGGAAAGAATAAACACATGGGACCTCATCAAAGTAAAAAGCTTCTGCACAGCTAAAGAAAACATTAGCAAAATGAAAAGGGAACCAACCATATGGGAAAACATATTTGCCAATGATATCATGGACAAGGGTTAGATCTCCAAAATTTATCAAGAACTCACATGACTCCACTCCAGGAAGACAAACAATCCAATTAAAAAATGGTCAAAAGACCTGAAAAGATACTTCTCCAAGGAGAACTCACAGAGGGCTCAGGGACTATGAAAGGACCCTCAGCATTACCAGCCATCAGAGAGATGCAAATTAAAACCACAATGAAATATTACCTCATACCTGTCAGAATGGCTATCATAAATGAATCAACAAAGAACAAATTCTGGCAAGTTTGTGGAGAAAAGGGAATCCTATTGCACTGTTGGTGGGAGTGCAGACTGCTACAGCCACTGCAGAAAACAGTATGGAATTTCCTCAGAAAACTAAAAATGGAACTGCCTTTTGACCTGGCATTTCCACTGCTGGAATTATAGCATAAGAAACCTGAAACACCAATTCAAGAGAACCTATGCACCCTAATGTTCATAGCACAATTTACAAAAACCAACTGCTAGAAGCAACCAAAGTGCCCATTAGTAAGTGAGCAGATCAATAAACTGTGGTACATTTACACAATGGAATACTACATAGCAGAAAGAAAAAAGAAACTCCTACCCCTCATGGGTGCACAGATGGAACTGGAGAGCATTATGCTAAGTGAAATAAGCCAGGTGATAAAAGACAAATACCATATGCTCTCACCTATAAATAGAACTTAATCAACAAAACAAGCAAGCAAAATATAACCAGAGACACTGAAATGAAGAACAATCTGACAGTAACCAGAGGGGAGTGGGGATGGGGATAATCGGGGGGAAAAAGGGAAGGATCATCAAGGAACATGTTTAAAGGACACATGGACAAAGCCAAAGGGGGGTAGAATTGAGAGTGGAAGGTGGGGGTGGGTGGGGCAGTGGGAACATGATGGGAAAATGGAGACAACTGCACTCGAACAACAATAAGAAAGTTAAAATGTGAAAAAAATGTGCCTATATAAAATAGAAAATTATTCAGTCCCCCTCCCTCCCAAAAAAGAAATCCTGCCCTTTAGAACAATATATATAAGCCTGGGGGCCATTATCTATGTTAGTGGTCCCCATTCTTTTTGGTAGCAGGGACTGGTTTCCTGTAAGATGGTGTGGGGGAGGGGGAGAGGAGACAGAGTTCAGGGGAGCTTAGATCCTGGGCCAGGGGCAGTAGCAGTTGGTGGCTTGTGGGGATGGGACCTCTGATCTAAGTGAAATAAACCCAATACAAATTTAAAGGTGCTGAGAACACTTACATTAGCCTGCAGTTGGATAAAATCATTTCACACAATGAATATGCTGTATTGATTGCTTACCCTCCTGACTGCATGCCCGGCTGGGGTCTGAGGCTCAGAGATGCTACTATCCAGCATTATGGGAGAGTATCATAATGCACATTGCCAGCCAGGGGAAGTATCAAAATTTGAGGTAAGTTTCTACTAAATGTATATTACTTTTGCAATGTAGGGAAAAAAAAGTCGAACCATTGTAAGTTAGGGGTGATCTGTACAATTTTTATGTATCAAAAATAAGTACAAGTCAGTATGGAATCAGATTTTTTAATTCCTGATTTATAATACAACACTATGTTTTTTTGCTGTAATTATTTCATATTTGGTCACTGGGACCTTTTTGGTTTGGTTTCTGGGCTTTTCTGATATGCCCTGATCTTTTTTTTTTTTTTAAGATTTTTTTGTTTATTTATTTTTAGAGAGGGGAAAGGAGGGAGAAAGAGAGGGAGAGAAACATCAACGTGTGGTTGCCTCTTGTGCACCCCCTACTGGGGACCTGGCCCACAATCCAGGTATATGCCCTGACTGGGATTCAAGTTGGTGAGCCTGTGGTTCCCAGGCCAGCACTCAATTCACTGAGCCACAGTAGCCGGGTGCCCTTCTCTTTTTTATTTATGGTTTTGAATAGTTCCTTATTTTCTAGTGCTAAAAAGACTAATAGATGCTCCAGGCTCATCTTGTATTTTTCCTGCCCTGACCCTAGAATTAGTCATTTCCTCAAGGAGCCCTGGTTCCTGTGTTGTCTTCCTTTTTTTAAAAAACCATAGTAACCATTTTAAGTGTTGTGGACTGAACATTTGTGTTCCTTTCCACCTCCATATTCATATGTCGAAGACCTACATGGACATTTAACCTACAGTGTGGCTGTGTTTAGAAATGGGGCCTCTAAGGAAATAATTAAAGTTGAATGAACTTGTTATGGTGGCTGCTGATCTGATAGGATTGGTGTTCTTGTAAGAGATACCAGAGAGCTCACTCTCTCTTCATGCGCACACATGATGCAGAAAGACCACGTGAGACCATAGTGAGGAGGTAGCTGCTGCAGGAGGGAGTTCTCACCAGTCACTTTAATCTTAGACTTCCAGGTTGAGATTGTGAGAATAAATTAATCTTGTTTGATCCACCCAGTCTAATGCACTTTGTTATGGCAGCCTAAGCAGACTAAGACAAGTGTATTCACACTTGTGCAACAGACCTCCAGAAGTTTTCACATCTTGCACATCTGAAACTCAATACCATTAAACAACTCTCCATTTCTCCAGCCCCTGACAACCACCATCCTATCTTCTGTTTTTATGAATTTGACTACTTTACATACCTCATGTAGGTGGAATCAGAGATAATTTATCTTTTTGTGATTGGCCTATTTCATTTATCATAATGTCTTCAAGGTTAATCCATGTTGTAGGATACGACAGGATCTTTTTCCTCTTTAAGGCCAAACAATAAATATCCCATTGTATGTGTAGCCCACATTTTGTTTTCGTTGTCTTCCTCTTAAGAGCATCAAAACTTGTGGGTTTTTTTGAGAATTTTTGTATGAGTTTATTTGAGCCGAACTGATGTCATATACCAGGAAGTAAGATCACAAATGCTCTCAAAACTTATTCTTACAGATAGTTAAACTGCTGGTGGATCTTTTTGGTTGTCAAGCTTTGTTTTGTTTGTTTGTTCATTCTGGTTAGCACTGCACCACCTCTGGTCTCACTTATTTAGGTGCCAGCCCTTCAGGAGGCCCTCTCAGCTAGGACTTGCAGAATCTGTGCAGCCTAGCTCCTAGCCAAAAATCTATCCTGAGCACCCAGGCAGTCTTCTGCACACCTCTCTTTATGCCGGTCTCTCTTATTAGTTACCCTGCCCTTCAAATTCCAGCCATAGAAGCAGCTCAAGACTTAATCTCTGTCTCCTCAGCTTGGTGAGACTGCTGCTCTGTTTAGAATGTGTTTTCTGCCTTATGCCAGGAAGTGGCCTTGGTGGAATCCTAGGGTGGTCATAGGATTCTCTTCTCTCAATGATCACAGTCCTGCCTGTCTTCTTTACCTGGAAACAGTTGCCTCATGTATTTTGTCATGTGTAGTTTTTTGGTTGGAAGTCAAGTCTAGTAGCACTCTGTTGTGGCAGAAAACAGAACTATAGTAGTTTTTATTAATAGGCTCTTCCTGTTTCTCCTCCTTTCTATATTTATATCAATATATTCTGTCTTGCTGACCTTATCTGTTCTTAGAGTTTCAATTTCCTTTCTGTTTTTCTTATGTTAACTTTTTATTAACCATTCACGTATTAAAAATAAACCGCTTTGGTATGTATTATTAATGCATTTCCTTTTATAGTTGTCTTTGCATACAAAAACAAGAGAATGGGAGACAAATTTAATGGAATTTCTGAGACTGTGAAGGGTAAATATTAGAACACACTTGGGAAACTGATTTGGGGACTATAGGGAAGCAGAATATTCACAAAATACAATTGGGCAATAGTCCATTTTTTCCATAATTCCAGGCACACTTAGCCAATAGTCCATTTCTCTATCACATATAACTACCCAAAAGCTGCAAGACACCATGAATCAGTCCCATTCAGCATGCATGTATTTTCTCAAAAGGGAAAAAAGCAACTACAAAATCTGGGATAACTCCTAGCTGGGAACCACTCTCCTTTTTATTTCAGTTTCCACAGATGAAATTGCTGGTTGAAGAGCAACTTGTCCTTGCTCCATAGAATCAGATGAGATGGGCAGTCAATTTAATATACAGGATGGAGAAAAGTAGGCTTACAGTTGTTTGTATGGAAAGCAAAACAATAATTAATAAGTAATAATAAAATAATGAACTTTTGCATAATGACAACTGTAAGCCTTCTTTCCCTCAACCTTTATATTTACTAAGCATCTAGAGAGAACGGTGAGGCCCCGAAATCATCACAGTTTACAATATTCATTTCTATAGGCAGCCCCAGAATTTGGTCATTTCCTGAAAAATGACTTTTTTTTGTCACCTGTACCTTATACAAAAACCCTGCAAGTTTCCTGCTAGCAGTTTACAGATCGGCCATTTCCTCATTGGCGCACACCTCCTCATACTTCTCTAATTTGACTTTCTCGGCTGAAGTGAAAGGTCCTAGATGGAGATGATTGACAATGCTCTTTATTCTGCATTAGAATTGTCTGCTGTACCCCAAGCCCAGAATGACTACAGACCACAGCAAAATGGTAAGTAACTCAAATTAGTCTGGAAAACTGTGCGTAGTTACCATAGGCTAAGGGATGAATGGGAGGTAGAATAAGTTTTGAGTAGAGGATGCAGAAAAATTGAGGGTAATTTGAGGGCATATGTTAGTTTCAGTTTGAAGTCCAGAATTGGAATGCGAAAATTTGGTATATGGTCAAGGATCAAATCTTAGATCTCAGGTAAATCTTTTCTAACTGTTCACTTCTGTGATCTCATCTATGAGACCCCAGCTAGGGCAGTTCTGTTATTCTTTATTGCTCTTGAACTTAAAGCAAGAACTCTGTGTGTGTGTGTGTGTGTGTGGTGGGTACTTATCTCTTTAATAAAGTTTTGAGTAAACCAGCTGTTTAAATTTCAGGTAGTTCTGTTTTCTGTGAGATGAGAAGTATAGCAATAATTTTGCTACTGGTTAATAATAAGACTTCGGCAGAAAAGAAACTGACTTGCGTATTAAGTAAGAGAATATAAATTTATATATTGATGTGAGAGAGAAACATCAATTGGTTGAACCCAAAAGATAGGTATGTGACCTGACTTGTAATTGAATGCATACAACACTCCAACAAACTTAGCCACACAGGCCAGGGCTCAACTATATATCTTGATAGTCATTCCAAATCCATTAAAAACATGTCTTTATTCCTTTGTTAGAAGCTGCATATTTATGTTATGAATATATTAAAATATATTTGATGTCTTATTGATAGACATTGCAATTGAATTCGATCTTTTTCTCCTATGAATATTGTTGCCATGAATAGCCTTACAAAAACATTTTGCACATTGGTGAGTATCTGTATGAAAAATTTCTCAACAAGAAATTGTTAAGAAAAGGATAAATGCCTTTGCAATTCTGGTGGACATTGCCAAATTGTCCTCCAAGTGGTTTGCACCAATTTATATGCTCACCATTGAACAGGAGTCTGTATAAGCCAAAATTTAAAAGGAAAAAGTACTCACTTTAAAAAAAAAAGTTATCCTGAAAAAACATTTTCTAAACTTTTTTTTTAGATTAAAAAATTATTTTTAGAGAGAGGGGAAGGGAGGGAGAAAGAAGGAGAGAAACACTGGTTGCCTCTCCCCTGACAGGAAATCAAGGGAATCAAACTGCTAACCTTTCACTTTGCGGGACAACACCCAACCAACTGAGCCACACTGGTCGGGACAGAAAAAAAGTGTTCTTAACTTGATAAATATAGCATGTAACTTGATAAAGATGGTTACTCTAGACTTCAGGACAAGTTCTTGACAGACCCAAGATCTTTAGGGCACGGGTCTCAGTTCCTACCGGGCCAAATTGCTTCACGATCCCAGATATCCTTCCCTGACCTTTTCTTGTCCTTCATTTTTTATTATGACTCAGGATTTTGCTTAGGATTCTGTTCTTGCAGCTTCTTCTTCCAGGTGCTCTTTCTTTCGCCACCGTACGACAATAGCTTCGGGGCTTCTGAGTGCCGTTGTTGTGAGTGGGCTGCTGTGCATGTGGACTCTGTGCCGGAGTAAGTGTTCACTTAAACTAAAGTCAATCTTTCATTGTACCCATGTATCCATTTTGTGTTATAAAAGCACTATAACATAGTGGAAAACTTGAATAATGAAAAATAATTTCAACAAAATAGATCACCTCTTGTAAACAACATTTTCTGGGTGTAGCCTCCTAGTGTTTGACTACATGTTTTCATGCAAGTATTTATTGTCTTCATAGAATTTCAATTAAGTTCTCTAAAATCTCCCCACCTTCTTTTTATTTTTTTCAAGTAAGGCTGGGTATAGTTGTAATCAAAGTATGCTAACAATTTTATATATTGCTTTATAATTCTATATTATGTCATAAACATTTTCCTACATACTGTCATGTTTATCATGATAGTCAATGTTGTTTAACTTTTCACATTATAAATATGTCATAATTTAATTAAACATATATATATATTTCCAATTAGAGAGCATTCACATTTTATAAAATGACCTTTTCTAGATTTAGTTTTTGTAGGTCCTTAAGTATAATAATCCAGAGAGCCCTTCATTTATTGTTTCACAATCCAGAGTCTTAATTTAGATTTATATTATCTGGGGATGAGTGTTAGGGACATATTTTACACACTATTCATTAGGATTCTAAGGTTCAGCCCCAGGACCAGTCAGCACCTCAGATCCAAGTCCTATCTTTGACAGAAGGAGATTCCCACGGAGCCTGGGAAGTTCTCATTCAGGCTGGGTAATGTCACAGCTGCATGGAAAAAAGCACAAATATATAACTTTAAGCTTAACCTCTAGAACCCTATATTGGTCCCAATGCCAGAGCCATCCATAGAGAAGTTGTCTAATCTTTCCATTAAAAAGGATGGCTTTCCCACTTTTTAATTCTCAGATCTGGAATAGATACTGTCCACATAAGAAACAGCCAAATCTGTAGAGAATTCTTATAAAAGTTTATTTGAGCCAAAATTGACAATTGCCAGGAGCCAAGATCCAAATGCTTCAGAGAGTAACATTTTTCCGGTTTCTTTTTTTATTTTTTAGAAGATCTTATTTATTTTTAGAGAGAGGGGAAATAAGGAAGAGAGAGAGAGAAACATCAATAGGTTGCTTCTCATACACCCCCAACTGGGTACCTGGCCTGCAACCCAGGCATGTGCCCTGACCAGAGATCGAACTGGCAACCTTTCGGTTCACAGAGCAGCACTCAATCTGCTGAGCCACACCAGCCAGGGTTTTCAGTTTCTTTAATGCATTTAAAATGAAGAAGATTACATGAAGGTGGGAGACAACAGCAAGGTGGAGATTGGATTATAGGCTAGTGAAGATTTTGTGCTCGCTGGAGGGTGGTTAGGCCTTTGAGGGGTATTTTTTTTTCAGCATTTGGAAGGTGTGTTAACCTGATGCACAGGAAAAATGGACAGGGTTTACTTGAAAACCTTTCACTAAAGATCTTACAGGCCTGGGATGTGAGTACCTACCATGACCTGCCCAGGTAGGAATTTATGATCAGACCACCCTGCGAGGTTATTGTTCCTAGAACTCCTTTTTCGTCCACAGTGCACAGTCAGTTTTCACTTACGTACCTACACATGTGTTCACCTGATGTAATGGCTTATCTTTGCCCGCTCTGCTTATGGTGAGTTTATATAAATATGTTTCATGGAAGTAAAAAATTAATAAAATTGTGGAATTTTGGTTAGAATTATCTTGAAAGTTTATTTAGTTCCCTTTTACTTTCACAGGCCTTATAATCCAACCATTTTAAAAGAATGAGAATGCTCTGTAATTTCTTTAGTATCTGATACTCATCCCTTTCAGAACATTTTTTTCAACATATGAAGTAAATTTTTTTCTAAAATGTCTTTTATTCAATTTCCAAATGATGATAGACAATCATATTTCTGATACAAAAATCAAACTACATTTTAGTTTAGTTTAGTTACATTTGCTCTTTCTGGTTTCTGCCCTTTTCTTTCTCACTATTATGAAGTGTCAGGTTGGGCCTTCTGAAGATTCTGCCTCATAGAAGCAATGTGTGTTCTGCAGTTACACAGTGTATACACTGAGCCTATATAGATAGTACACTGACACACGTGCAGATGCAGTAATCTTATCTGATGGGTTTGTCACATGTGCAGAACTATCTCTAGCACAAGTAGCTACTCTCTTCCCAGTCCTGAGCCAGATTGTTCCCATTTCCTGCCCCGCCCCTTCAGTCACAGTCCCATCCTTGCTTAGAGGAACGTACGGTAGTAGTGCTGGAGCTGGACATAGTGAGGTATTTAACTTGAGGCCGTGCATTTGTTGCTGGAGAAACTTGCTTATTCTTACAGACACAGTAAAGAATTACAGATCAGCAAGTCTTTTAGTGTGCAAGCAGGGTTATCAGTGAAGGCCTGGAAGACAACAGGCCTTGCCGAGGTGAAGGTGAAAGACATAGGTTCAGGGCATGGCAAGGTAAGGGTGGTATTAGGCAAGGGCAAGGGTAGTCAGAGCAAGGGTGGCAAGAGCCACAGGTCCTTTGTTCTGAGGACTTACATAGTTCGTGGGACAGGGGTGAAGAAGGTACATATTGATTGATGGGTAAAAGTGGTGCCAGCTTTCCTGTGGGGGGACTTGACTATCCAAATTTAGCTATGTGTAGGGGTCTGTCAGCCCGACTCTAGACTCTATTTGTTAATTTTGTTGTAAAACAGGTATGTAACTGGAGGCAGTTAATTAAATTTGGGGCAGTTACCCAAAGTTATTTATGGGCTCTTTCTGTAAGCTTTAGGGACTCCCTTGTAAAGGAAATAGTAACCAGAGGTAGGCAATTAACTGAAGTAGTGTTATGGGTTTCTTCTTTGGGCTCTGTCGGCAGGCCGTGGAATGAATACACAGTTTCAAGGCTTTCTCTCCCAGATAGTGGGAATGATACATACAATTTCAAGGGCTTCCCTCCTCCCACTAACGTAGTGTTTCTGGTGATGTTGGAACCCCTGGCAATATTATTGGACCAGGCTCAGGACTGCTGAGTTAGTGGGTGAGACATGTCTCCCTCCTCCTCCCTGCCTTGGTTTACTATCTGTCCTACCTAACACGTTCTTGTGCATTTCTCTAAACCTTAACTTGGAAGGGGGTGGGGCAGGGAAGACACTTGTGACTGTCACATTCCATTTTATCTCCCATTTCATTTCCAACACAGAGTGATGCATAAAGATTGTGAACCAGGTCCTCTTCCTTTCTAGGTTCCAAGCACACCACTTGTGCCAGCTGTCCTAGCTGCCCAGACTTCTGGATGGGGTATGGTGACCATTGTTATTACTTCTCAATGGAGAAAAAGGACTGGAATTCTAGTCTGGAATTCTGCCTAGCCAAAGGCTCACAACTCCTTATGTTTACAGACAACCAGGAAATGGTAAATGCAAACATTTAGTGAATGTAGGTTGTTTTCTTGGTGAATGCTGTTTAAATCTATCACGTATCCTCTTTCAATGAACAAAAGGAGTATCTTTCTCTCTCTTCTTTCCTCCGCTCTCACTCCTTATCCTTTCTCTGGCCTGACCCAACAACCCTCAGTTATAGAAACCTAGATGTTTGCATAGGCCTGCGTGTGTGCACGTTGAAGGTGGAAGAATGACAAGTAGTATGTTACAGAGAGAAATTAAACCTGAAGTGCAGGTCTGACAAGGCTCATCGGGTCCAGAAACATGCGGGTCCAACAACAAGGAGGCAGCAGGTTCCTATGTGAGAGCTCGTGGGACTTGGGGGTGAAGAGAGACAGCACGGGGACTAAGAGACTATGGCAAGGGCTTAAATGCCTTCTTTTTAATATTTTTCCTTCCTTCATTGGAATCTAGTCAGTTCCGGGCTAGGAAACAGTTGGGGGTGGGTTAGGGTGTATACAGAGAAAGCAGTTACAGAAAGTTGGGAAAGAAGGAAGGAAACCTGTGTGTGTGTGTGTGTGTGTGTGTGTGTGAGAGAGAGAGAGAAAGAGAGAGAGAGAGATCACAAGCTCCTTTCAGAGTTAAGCTGGTGGACTTCACTTCCTCCAGGGCTCTTGGATTCTTTCTGTCTAGCCTGCTGGAGGAGAGCTCTTTATTAATCCTACAGCACCTCAAGGTAATATAAGGAGTGACATCCTGTGGAAACCTGGTACAAAACTCAATCAAATTCCAACTTAATGTAAATAACATATACAAAGAGAATAAGAAATCCTAGAATGGCTTTTAGTGCAAAATCATACACATGATTTTTGTGTATTACCATTGCTTTCTATATTTTGGGGAGGAAAGAATCAAGATACAGAAAACAGCTTATTAAAAATTCAATGATATTAACCTCCCTAGGGGCAATTCAGAAAGATAATTACTCTAAGAGAGAACATATAGTTTCTAGATTTTATAACCCCCCATTAAAAAAAGATTAAAGCATCTACATTCTTGTTTTCTATCAAAGAAATGCTCATTCCTCCGAAATTTTACATAGAATCTAACTCCAAAGCAGTCCACCCCTGTGACTTATTTTTTTAACATACTTTTTCTAAACTAGGTGGCAGAATGTATTTGGGATATAAAATTTTATTTTATAGCATCTGGTAACAGTAACCTTGCTTTCTGGACCTTTTCGCAGTAACTTTTATTCTCAGTCTGATGAAGCTGCTCCTGAGGACTTGAACTGACTGAAATCAATAGCAGAAGTGAGCAAAGAGCTTGAAATAACGCTGGGCAACTACCAATAAACAGAATAGCGAGTCATAACACAAGGCCCTGCCACAGAGCGTCGTGGTGCGGCAGCTGCTGTAGATTACACCACTGAGAGTGAGATGCAGAGGGGAAGGGCCGAGGCGCAGAGAGTGAGCGGAGCTGCGGATATTTCGGTTTCCCCAAGGTCCCCGGTGGAATGCAGCAGCTGTTAGAGGAGTTTCGTATTTCTTTTCTTTCTTTGCTTTCCCTGGATCTTGTCTCTGCTGTTGTGTAAGTGGAACAGAGTTAAATTGGCTGCATTTCCAAAACTGGTTTATTTTCTCTCAAGGCCCCTTGGTTCAAATGGGTACTGCGGAAGGTAGAGTGTCCCTAAGAGTTTTAATAGCAACCACAGATAAGTTTTGCTTCTGACATTCCTTTGGTTCTTCTGGCCTAATTCTTTGTCTCTGCCCCAGCTTTTGTCAGATTCTATAGGACCAACTTGACTTATATTTGATTTGATAAGCCTCTTGTACTAGTGTTATTATTTTGTTTCAAAGGCAAGATTTACATATTATGTTAAGGTTTACTTGATATTCCTAGTACCATACTTAGGTCTGAACAGCAACCAAAAGAGCATATGGGTGTATTAAAATGGAAGTTTTTCACATTGCCCTTCTCCTGGTGGAGTACTGCTAGGGAATTACATTGCTATGTGCTGGAAGCTATAGGACATAACCCCACCTTTTATACTCAGCTATAGCAGAGTATAAAAACAATAATAGAAACTGACAGGTATTGAGCACTTGCTATGTGCCAGGTATTTTATGTATATTATTCTTAATCTTCACAGCAAAGTAGAATTCAACACCTCCCTTTCACTGATGAGTTCAAATCCAAGGTCACAAATCTGACAAAGCCAGTTCCTCTCCCCATTCTCCTCCTCCTCTTTCTTCTTGCAGAGCTAGATTTTAAACTCCACTTTAGCCCACCCTTTTAAGTCCCTTACAGAAATATTGTATTGGACAACTTCTAGAATCTATCTTGTATATGCTGAAAAATGAGATAAAATTTTCCTATTAATTGCCTTCTGTTGCCTTTTCTTTTCTATACATTTAAAAAATTATTTGAATTTGAAATCTGGAATGTACATGATATGGTCCCTGGGATTTAAATGTTTTTAAAATGGTCAAGTGCTCACTTATCTCTGTCTTCTCTCTTGGACTTGAAGATTTGGGTGGAAGCGGAAGAGAGTATAAGGGGGATAAATGGTAATGGAAAAAATAAAATAAATAAAGATTTGTTTTACTTTAAAATAAAGTCATTGCTTTAACTGCTTTACCTGAAAAGGGTCTGGAGATTGAAGAAAAACATATTAATGCTATTATTTAAAAATATACCAGACATATAATAAAAAGATAAAGATTTATTTTATTTTTTAAGAAAATAAAACAAAACTGAAATTGGAATTACTCTGTTATTTCCTCAGGTTTCTGTCCACATATGGTATCTGGCCTTTCTTGTTCTTCCTGCTTTTTGCATTTATCTTTAGGTTTTAGATATATTCACATCCTTGATTTTTGTTGTCATTTTACCCCCACAAAGCTCAGTTTATTTTGGTTGGTAGCATTTTTTCCTTAGAGTTGTTGAAGTATTATTCAAAAAGTACACGTTTAGTAGAGAGTTTCTTGTGGGAATATTTTTGTTGCTTAAAATTTGTCCTGACACTCCCAACCTCACAGTATCTTCCTTCTTCATTACCATAACTCGAGATGATTTAACCGGAGTTTACTCTTCTAACAACCTAGTCACTTCAACTCTCTTTCCCATTAGAATTTGTGACTTTGGGATCATCTGTGTTTTCTCCCTGGATTTTCTTGTATTTAGGGTTCACATCTAATTATATGCATGTTTCCCTTCTTTGGAGATTGCAATACAAACACTATGGCAAATTGGTCAATTTCCCCCATATTTTAAAGTTGAATCAGGTAATTGGAAGAGCTTATTTTCTTTCAGACAGTTATGAGTCTGTTTTACTACACTACTTACTATGTGAACTCAAGCAGTTTTCTTAACCTCTTTAACTTTCCATTTCCTCATGTACCAAGTGAAGAAAGAATTTTCAGGAATTGTTATAAATATTAAGCGAGAAAAAGCTATATGGAATTTTCTTTAACACAGTAGGAATTAATCATAGTATTTCTTTTCTACTTTAATTCTCCTTGTCACTCCAGATAAACCCCAGAGCCAGAATAATTTTTCTTTTTCTCTTCTATTTCTTAAGACATGAAATTGTGGTAAAATATGCATCGCAGAGTAAACCATGGCTTGTTTAACTGAGTATGTCCCTTATGAGGAAACCTGAAATGGTATGTTGGGAGATTGAAAGAAGTGACTGGACACACAGGGCAGATTATAAAGCAACTGTTCCACTGTGGAGGTCTTCCTGGTCTGGTAACTTGTGTGTCCTCGGTCATCCTGTCTTTACAAACAGATCAAGCAACCAGCGTGAGTTTTACACCAAGCATAGGAGTGGTAGATAGGTTAAGATATCTCTTTCTATCTTTTTTTTTTAAACTTAAAAAAATGTATAGTATAAAATTTAACATTTAGCCATTTTCAAGTGTAGAGTTAAGTGACATTAAGTACATCTCCTTTATTGTGCAGCCACCACCGCAGTTTAGCTCCAGAATGTTTTCGTTGTCCCCAACAGAAACTTGGTCCCCATTAAACAGTAACTCCATATTTTCTCCTTCCCCCAGCCCCTGGTGACCACCTTTCTACTTTTTGTCTCTCTGAGTTTGCCTATTATACCTTTTTATACCTGGATTATTTCAAGGTTCATTCATGCGGTAGCATTTACCAGGGTTTTAGTCCTTTGTATGGCTGAATAATATTTCATTATATAAGTATGTCACATTTTGTTTATCCATTTGTTTGTTGATGGACAGTTTTTTTTTGCGATCTTTTAACGTGCTCTGGTTTATAGAACAAGGCTTATTTAAGTATTATGTACATACACAAAATGATAGGAAAAATGCTTATCAATATAAAACTCATAATGGGTAGCCTGTCAATTTTTTGAAATCTCTTAACGTATCTGCACATTTTGATTTCAAAAAATTTTTTATTGTATTTTTTTCATTACCATTTAGCCCCTGTAGACCCCCACCCCCCAGCAATCACCACACTGCTGTCCATGTCCATGAGTCCTTTGTTTTTTCTCCAATCTTACACCCCCTAAACTCCCCCCCAGCCAGCTGTCACCCTGCTTTCCATGTATGAGTTTGGCCCCATTTTCCTTGTTAGTGCAGTTTGTTCGTTAGATTCCACATTTGAGTGAAATCATACAGTATTTGTCTTTCTCTGACTGGCTTATTTCACTTAGCATAATTTTCTGCATATTTTGATGTGAATAATACATGTTTTATCAGTAAGTAATAAATTATTTATTACTAACAGTTTATTATTAGGAAGTAATCCATGTTTACTTACTAAAGGATATCTAAAAAGTCTGGAAACAGGAAAAACTTATTTAAAAATAATATGTTAGTTATATGTGCAAGTAATATGCTCAATGTGTTTTTATTTAACCTCCAGACACATTTTCAGCTGAAATAACTCTAAATTTAAGCAATAGGTTAAATTGAGTTTAGACTTTATGGGTGCTCTGTATTGTACTATTTTCAAATTCTTAACTATGTTCATTGCTTTAACCACTTTGTCTGAAAAG